CGACATGACTAAACTAACAGAATGTGAATATACCTAAGGTTTCAGTGACTATGCTCCTTACTAAAATCACACACGCAGTTGCGCACACAGGCTCGCACACGCGCACTCACACTTACAGACACACATATATCTCTATATGTGTGTGCGTTTGTGTGTGGTGTGTAAAAATCTATAAAGATATTAGAAGTATTCCTAATTCAAAACACTAGGTCCAGCCTGAAACGACCATTTTTGCCAACGTTGCTCAGCTGTTTTAACTAATACGTATGCGGAAAAAAACAACAAATATATTAACTTACTCAATATAATTTATTAAATCTAAAGAAGTAGTTTACATTACTTGAGACAATGATATATTTGGACAACTCTTCTACACGCGTAGTATTCATAAAATGCTAAGGATACTAATAAGATGAAACGACATAAAAAATAAACTGAAAGTTGTTGATAAGATATGGTCTCTTGGAATTACTTAAAATCTTTTTTTTTTCTTTGGGTGATGATATCAATATTTTACTTCAATCAGATATTTCAGAGAAATTAAAAAAAAAACACTTTCAGTATCTCTCTCTATATTTCTGAGATAAGGTATTAAGTACAAAATTTACATTGTTCGGACTATCGGCTTTATATTTATTGCCATATTTCGGCCGTTATACGCTCTGGCCTTCTTCAGGTAGTTGGAATGTCGAACTGAACCCTTTATTTCGCTCACTGGGGTAAACTGTTCTAATTACACGAGCCATGTCTAATGGATGTCAGTTATCAGTTATCTCCTGCTTAGTTCCCCTCTCCACTGCCTTAACCAGGTATTGAACTATTTGGCTCCGGAAAGAAATATCAATAGGAGACAAGCCGCCCCCCTTAAGTTAAGCCATCAAAAGCTGTAACACGAGGGGAAGTAGAAAAATGAGGCGTGGCTGACCACATATGGAGAGAAAATGAAGATCACCGTCCTCTGTGGAATCAGGTTGAAATCATAGACAAAGAACATCATTGGAAAATTCGTAAACTTAAGGAATCATCACATATGCTAGGCCACAAAAATCCCCTGAGCCTACCAAGCATAGAAATGAATACAATATGGGAACCAGTAATAAGGACTGCCAGCGAAAAGCAATAATAACAAAAATTGCAATATGAGCTCTGGTAAGAAACATGCAATAATAACAGCAGAAATTGCGATATGAGCACTGGTAAAAATGGTATTCAAGACATTAGCTTTATAAGTCCAAGAAATCCATACACAGATGTCCTCAAGGAAATATGGTACACTGGGTAAAGGCGTTATTTAGATCCAGTGACAGGAAGAAAAGAATGCGAATTCAATACCTGGTTAAGGCAGTGGAGATTTTGGTGAAGGTAATTAAGCAGGAGATAACTGATAACTGACACCCATTAGACGTGGCACGTGGAACTAGAACAGTCTACCCCAGTGAGCGAAATAAAGTATCCAGTTCGACATTCCAACCACCTAAAGAAGTCCAGAAGAAGGCCGAAGCGTACAATGGCCGAAACGTTGTAATAAATATGGCGAGAAAGATGAGGACGATAGTGTAAAAAAAAAGCTTTGTAAATCATGTGTGGTCTGTTGTTCCTTTATATCCTCGTAGGAGTTGAGTAACATGCAAAATACATGAGGTCAATGGAAAAACTCCCTCAGTACTGCTGAAATCTCAGAAAACGAACATCGTTTTGCATTGAATATCGGCGCTGTATCCTTCAAGCGGAGCGAAATTTAACATGTAGAGCTTACGAATCATATTTCAAGACGGGTACAAGCTTTGCAAATTTCGTAAGTTTTTACAAGTCCAGACACACGAAGATAATGCATTGACTCCTACTGTCCAACAAACTTCCCAGATCACAAAGGCTAAATGCATTTTATGGAAGGCATTGATCTAAAATATTTATATCTCTAACATAACGTGAAACTTTTAACAAACCTTTAGATGTATCGTCTGGGACAGCTAGGGATCCATGTCTGAGGTAAGAAAAAATTACCTATACATTTTTCTTTTAATTAATCCATGATATCACTGCGAAACATTAATATGAACTGCGTCAAAACAGCCTCTCTATCTCCCTCTCTCACTTTCTCTTTCTATCACTCTTTCTCTACTCAAACAAAAACAAAACACACTAGACATTTTTGTATTAAAATTCCAGCAATACATCTTTATATATTAATAAATTATCAACAATACTCATTTATTGTAAAATTGCCAACAATACATATTTAAAGCAATACATTTTATCAGTAATTTAATGAATACAATTGCGTCCAAAATATATTTTGAGAATATTGTCTTCAAAATTTCGGCATTAAATAGCCTATAGAGATTGATATGTTGAAAAACAAAATAAACCAATCAATCTATTTATATATGCATAAATCATGTGTGTGTGTGTGTCTGTCTGTCTCTCTATGTTATTTAACTGTTTGTGTTTGTTGATGTTAATTTGTTGATAACACTATTATAGTTTAAACTTCATTGCTCTTGTTCAAGACAATCCTCACATCTGAACAAATCGATATATACTAGAAAAAAAATTCGAATATTTTGTCCTCAAATGTTCCCTAAATTATATTTGATTCTAGCCAAGCAAATATGATATTGATTTTTCACTAACTGTTTGATATGACAGTTGATCAATTATTTAATTCTGTACTTAGTTGAGACTTCTATGAATCAATAACTACAAATATTTGAAGTGTTTTCTTAATAATACAAGAAAATATCATTTTCTAATGATTGTAAACATCGAATATATTGGTTCATTAAAGCAATATTTACTATTATCCAAGATTGCACAAAGATTGTTTAAGTTCAAATAAGTCTCTCAGATAAAAGCAATAGTTCTCAACATTGGTACAATAAACACGACTGCACGGAGAGCGTTCAGATAAGTTAAGAGATGTACGTGTAGCCATGATGAAATTGGTAAGATATCGTTCACGTCAGACACGCCTATTTGCGGGATTATTATTGAATTTCAACTTCGACTATTGTTATTCGTAAAAGCCAAAATGTCTTGTCGATTCAGACAGACTTACACGCATCGTATACTGAGGTTCAAATATCGTAAACTACTGTTTCCTAAAACAAGTTGTCCTATTTAGATGTAAATATTTCTTACTTCTTTAATTTATATTTGGTGGATAAATATTTTTTTCAGAGTAGTCCCTGTTTTTAAACAGTGAAATTAATGCGTACAACAACAGACAATAATAACAGACTTAATAAGGAAAAATTATTCCTCTAAATACAGGCATAATCCTGGATTAATAATGTAATTACCTGGTGAAAATTACTGTGTTTAAGTTTTTAGCACGGAAATAAATGTTACAGATATAGAGTTCGAAATGTTACACTGCGAATTCTGCATTTCTTAAGTAAGGTATTTGAGCGTTTTCTTATGTCTTCTCTTAGGTTAATGATAGCAACAGCAAGCTTAATGGTGATTTCTCATATAAAAAGGCAAAACAATTCGATTATCCACGTGAGAAACATCTTCTTTAGACATTCGTTCTCTTGGCAAGTAGATTAATGTCACTGTTTAAAAAAGGCAGAGATTTATACTCAAACATGTGTACCCCCTAAATATACGTAAAGAAAAAAAATGGCTGACACCCACCTGTAAGGGTATCAAACGACTACATGTAGCATGCTGTAACATCAGGACCATGCTGGACACGCCCGACTTGCAAATGAATCGTCAATATTAAATGTTGACATCGCTGCTCTCATTGAATTCGTTTCCAAGAGGAAGGCAGCCTAAAAGAGCACGGCGCCGAATATACCTTCTACTGGTCAGACAATTCAGTAGTGGAGAGTCGTCTTTTGGGTGTAGGCTGCATAATCAGGGATTCCATTGCCTCCAAGCTTGAAAGCCTGCCATTAGTTTATTCTAACAGCATCATCTCTCTGCGCGTCCCACTGAGTAATCTTCGGTATGTCACACTAATTAGTGGGTACTCCACATCTATAAAAGCAAATTCTGTGGAAAAAGATAAATTTTACTCCGATATACGCAAAACAATACGAGACTCCTCTGCAGGTGATAAGGCTGCAAACTAAAGCTTCACTTTAAACTCAAGCCAAGTAAACTCAAGCCCTCTTTAAAACGTTCAATGTTAGCAGTTTTAAATCCGATGAAGTGAAAGCTAACTTCCAAGCAGTACTTAAGTCAAGGCTTGAAGATGCGAGCATCCCGAAGATACCTCTTCGGAAACACTTTCTTAAAGTCAAAACTGGCAGTCTGCAGACATCTGTAGAGTTCCTCGTGTTCTCCTCAAGTAAGAACAAAGGTTGGTTTGATGAGAGCAATGTGGAAATTCAAGAATTGCTAGCGAGGATGAGAACAACTGATCAAGCTCACTTAGCTCAGCAGCTTATACTGTAAATAAAGCTGCGTTCTGTTTCGAGACTTCCAGAGGTTAAAACCAAACTCGTTGAAGATATGCAACTGTATGCAGAAACAGGAGACATCAGTGGCTTCAATGAAGTATTAAAAGCGGTATACGGCACTGTGTATCAGGTACAGGGTGCAATGTGCAGTGCAGACAGTCAGATGCTTCTTACAAACAAGGCGTTTATCCTAAACCGTTGGTCAGAGCATTTCCAGGACCCCTTCAGTCTTAATCGCTGCGTCCAGGAACCAGCAATTCTCCGAATACTACAACAACCAGTAAAAATGGAACTGGATGTGTTGCCCACTATTGAAGAGACTATTAAAGCTGTAAAGCAGCTGAAGTGCGGCAAAGCAGCAGGAGTTGATAGAATTCCATCTAAAATCTGGAAGCATGGGGGCCCAGTTTTGCATATGAAACTCCACATGCTCTTTTGCTGCTGTTGGGCGCATGGGAAAATACCACAAGATCTCCGCGATGCAGTCATCATTTCGCCGTACGAGAAAAAAAGGAAAAATCTGACTGTTCCAATAACCGAGACCTTACTCCGCTCTCTATCGCCAGAAAGATCCTTGTAAGAGTTCTGATGAACAGACCACTATCCTCCATCGCGGCGTCCATTGATGTGACAAAAGCATTCGACACAGTGAACAGAAGAGGGATGTGGCAGATCATAGGGCGACTCGGCTGTTCTCCAAAGTTCTTGAATATGATCATCCAAATCCACGAGGATCAGGGTGGCCAGGTTAGACACATCGTTGATTTCTCAGAGTCATTCTCGATCACCAATTCTGTAAAGCAGGGTTGCGTTCTGGCAGCGACTCGCTTCATTTTCTTCTTCAGCATGATGATCAAGCAAGCAATGGAAGATGCTGATGATGAGGACGGAGTCTACATCAGATACAGTTTCGATGGTGGCCTGTTTAATCTACGGCGATTAAAAAGCCCAGACAAAGATCAACTTATCCGAGAACTCTGCTTTGATGACGATTCTGCCCTAGTTGCCCACACAGAAGGTGATTTGCCGCGGACCACTTCCTGCTTCACAGAGGCTGCCAAGTTTTGGGGCTTGAAGTCATTTTAAAGAAGACAGAGGTACTCTACCAGGGATCAACAAGGAGGTCAACAACAGACCTTGCAAGGGAGAGCATTACCTATGGTAGATATGTATGTGGTATAACAGACATCTGAAGAAGGGAAATAAGATCAAAATGTATAGACCTATCGTCCTCGTCACTCTCCTATACGACTCAGACTCATGGGTCACCTACCGAAACCATCATCGTCTCCTCGAACGGTTCCACCAGCGCCGCCAACGTACGATCCTGGAGTTATTTCGTCTCCAATATTGAAGTTCTTGAAAAGGCGAAGATAACATCATTGAGGCTATGCTGCGAAAGTCCCTGCTGCGCTGGGCAGGACATTTTTTCAGGATGGATAATCATCGCCTGTCATTTTATTGTACAGCGTGCCCAACACTGGATATCTTAGAAGAGTGGCACCATAAAAGCGATTCAAATATTTCCTGAAAAAATCCATTGTTGCCTGTCACATTATCCATTCCCAATGATCAGCTGAGAACAGTGACGCCCGACGTCACACCACAAAACATACTGTCCCCTTCTTTAAAAATACCTACAAGGACGCTCTCAGGGACACGAGGCAGAGGATGAAGTACAGCAATGCTATGCCATCGAACCCAGGCCAAAAGTTTAGCTGCAACTACTGCGACCGAGTATGCCTCTCTCGCATTGGACTTCATAGTCACAAACATGACTGCAGGCGACGAATAGAGACTCCCTCGTGATCTTCGTTTTGCGAGGGCAAGCCATGATGATGATATGCGAAGATATTTGCAAACAAACTATCTGAAAAGAATTATATAATATTGGAAATTGGAAAATTCAGTCTTATCACGCGAAAAATATACAGCCAATGCTCGTCCACCCGTAGATTATTGATTAGCAAGCTAGCGGCACAAATAATATGTTTTGAAATGTGCTCTACCTACGCATACAGCGTTCCATGAAACGAAGCGGGGCGTCCCAGATATTTATATATGCAATAATTCATAAATATATATTGAAATATATATGAATAAACTGCTACATATGACAAATACGATGAAATATATATATGTTCGTTCTTACAGTGAAGATACAATAACAAGGATAATTGGATAAGTATACTTCATATCATAGCCTCTGTCTGCTTCTTATCGAAATCCTCCTATGATTTTTGATATAGACCGCCTTAGATAAGTATAATTCATTTTGATCAAAATGTGTCTCCGGAGGGCAAAAACCTCCACTGATTTTTTTTCCTGTTTGATATAAATTAAATTTGAATTTGAAATCCTATTCAAAATATAGAAGAAGAAAGCCGCAAGATGGCGGTCACACCGTCAAGATGATTGAGTAATACTAAAATGCAATTTTTTCCTCTACAAATTATAAAAATGAATTAAAATAAATCATTTAAAATTTGAGACGCAACGCAGCGGATATTTCATTATTTATATATATATATATATATATATATATATATATATATATATATATATATATATATATATATATATATATATATAAAAAAAGAACAGTCAGATTAACAATCTACAATTCCTTAGCATTCGTCCCCAATACAAAGTAGAGTATGATATTATCATCTGAAATAATTTTAAAATATTCTATCATTGCGACACTAAAATTTCTGTTTCGGAACTGAAGGTTAAATTTATTGTTACATTTTCAAGCGATCTTGAATAAATTCAGAAAAAATAATTTTACTTTTGCAACGAAGTAGTATTATATTAAAAAGTTTGAAAAAGAGGGGGAACGAGATTACAAGATCTTCTTAGTGGTGATTTTTAACGAATCTAAATACAGACTTAAGTTAAATTGGAAAAGTGATAACTGTAAGTTAGAGGGTCGGTGTTGAATTCATCGTAGTCCAGAATTTTCTATTTTGTATTAGACATGGCATCCCCACTTTATTTTTAATATTTAACAGCACATATGATATCAAACATAAACTAAAAGAAAAAGATCTTAAACAAATCCACTAGACTAAATTACTCCCCACCCCCCAAAAAAAAACGTAATTGTAATGTGTTATTACAAATTCATATTGATTTGAATTTTATTGAACTTTTTATTTAGACAAAATGGATCGTCTCCTAAAATGCTTGAAGCTATTGCAATATTGTACGCATTATATATTATCTACTAATATTTATAAGTATTATATAAAATACTATAAGAATTAACAGGGGGAATATGTTCTTATAATTTGGTTCCTAAAATGTAAGATAGTTTAAAAGTAGCTGAGTGGGGAAGAACATTTTTGTTTTCTTAAGTAGAACACGGGGAGAAATAAATGAAATTAAAATGTCTACTGACCTACATATCTGTCTACCCTGGGAAGAACACTAAATGACACGTAGATTCAGAGATCAAATTTAAAATAAGTTACGCTTATTACTTACGTTACACCTATCCTATCACAGACCAATCATGACCTATTTAAATACACACTCAAACATACCAGATTACATCCCCAACATACTACTGGATAATACAAGCATAATTACCTCATCCACATATAAAAAATGATTACAAATAATGAAAGTCTGAATAATAAAATAGAAAGAGCCAAAACCCCAAAATATTAACAACTGATATGGCCACAAGGTGCTGTGTTCGGAAAACGAAAGATCCCTGTAACTCTAGAAACACACAACCTATACATCCAGTTACAAGTAAAAATAAAATCATCCTTGATAATGGCTAAAGCCCTTGGAATTACAGAACAATTGTACAGTTACTATACACTCTGTGTCCAGAAAAGAAAACCTTATTTGCACACAAGAAAAATAAATACAAGAAAAAGCTTAGACGCACTACCTTTTCAATCTTTTTTTTATAAAACATGTATAAATGAGAAATTGCCGCCTAAATATATAATATGAAATTTTAAGTCAAAAAGGAAAAAAATTATTTGCTATGCGTTTCATCAGCTAGGACTTCATCGGATATATAATATGCTATAATAATGTATGCAAGTATATTTGTATTCAAGCTTATTTCTCCCATTTCATATTTGGTAAGCTTACTTCATATTTCTGTTCATCTGTCCTTCCTCTTCATTTTCTGCACCTTTCAAAATCCCTCCATGCTCTCGCTCATTCTCACCACTCTCTCTCTCTATCTCTCTGTGTCTTTCCCTCCCTTCTCTCTCTTTTCCCTTTCTCATGCCATCTCATGTTCCCTCATTCTAGCCAGTTCCATGTTATGTATTAATACAATTGGGATATTTGTCTCACCTTGTTGCATTCCATGTTGTTTTTGCTTAATCTTTATATAAACATATTTCCTGCTGTATCTAACTTTTCCAACATTTGTTTATATTTTTATCTTCATCGTAATCCGTTCTTCTCAGATAGAACCTGCTCTGAAATGGGTAAGGATTTAAACGACAAATCTTTCTCCAGATATATTCTTCATGATAGAAAACTAAACAAATACATGATTTTTTCTGGTCGAATTGTACACCCTTCTGGCTGAGAACTGTCATAAAGAATTAGAATTAACCGAACAAGCTAACAAGATGAAGACCTCGCTTCTCAAACATCCACAATTAGAATGCAAATGTCACTATATCTTTTTTTTATTATATATTGAATTGTACCGAAGGACTAAGTCCGTTGTCTTTGTTGGGTTGATGGGATTCTAAAACCTTGCATAGAATCAACGACAGAGTTTACTGTCAAATGTGTTTGAAAAGGCTGACACCTCAACTATGATCCAAAATTAGATTACGCTTATACTCTGAGTTGTTCAGTTTTATGCTATCCGTGGAAAAGCGATCTATCATCTCTTTATACGACTAGCTACTATTTTCTACATAATCAAGTCCTAATAAATGAAAAATATTGAAAACTCGTTTCGCCTTTCCCTTACACCTATTCTATTTACATGACTTTGCACCGAACAATTTGATCGTTACAAAACTGTTTCACATGCGAAATTTTATCTAATGAAAACTTTTCAATCCCGTGGTACAACCGACTAGTGCATTAAAACGTTGGTTCACGGATTTTCTAACATAGTAATCCTGAGTTCAATCCCGAATTCTGGCAGTGTCAACTTGGACTCCGTGGAAACAGGGCGAGCAGTAAATAAGCATTACTGGAAATAATATCTAGACGAGATATCCCCAGACATGAGCAGTGGAACAAGAACAGTCTACCCTCTCATATATTAAATAAATCGTTCAGTTCGAAATACACATGACGAAGGCTGCGAGGCACAACCACCGAAAGGTGCAATAACAACAAAGATTAGGACAATAGGTAGCATGTTAATAGTTTAAATATTGTTTGATTATTTATCATTCATTTTCTATCTGATTTACTAAGCATAGATTAGTCGTGCAAGCAGTGAGGATCGAATTTACACATAACGATCTTGGCGTCAAGCTTATTGAGATTTGCCTTACGATGATTATCATCTTCCAGTTGCTTCAAGTTGCTCTTTATAGCAACGTTCAGATCATTTTGAAATCTTACTGCTGCTACTTTAACCAAACGAACCTAGAAATAAATAAGTAAGCTTCCAAATATATTTGAACCTATATAACATTTAATTGACCATTTGATATTTAAAATAACTTACCAGTTAAGCGATGGAAATTTAACAATAGGCTTTCTTCAGTTATAAACATATTATTATTAATTTAACATAATTTTGCAAATACATAATTCTGTGTTTTACACAAAGTAGTAATAACTGATCAGATGTTATACTAAATTGTCTTGTACTGAAATTATATAAGCTTTAAATTGTCTTTTTTTTATCTGACGTGTCCCTGAACGAGGTGAGCGATCATGTTTATCCATAATTTCATATCCCATGTAGATATTAACAATATTGTTCTTATTGATATATCTCCTAATTCCTTACAGTATTTACATTAGTCGGACTATTGTCCTCATCTTTGTCGCCATATTTGTCACAACGTTTCGGCCGTTGTACGCTCCGGCCTTCTTCAGGTGGTTGGAATTTCGAACTGAACCCTTTATTT